TGACAGACTCGAGGTTTATGCCGATTATTATTTGTATACAGACTTTCAATCCCCTGAATATTACTCGCAATTTGAGCCCACATTTCAATATAAATTCAAACAAATGCTACAACGGTTACGCCAAATGGACAGCCAGCAAATATTATTTAATATTATCGGAAAGCAAACGAGTTTATATGAAATGTTTAAAAATATTGCATTTATCACAAACACAGTATATATGAGCACGGTCGTATCATTTGTTTCGCGTCTCTTGCCCTACCATATCGGTCGACCAGATTTGCCTATTTATTTGACACCATTATGTTATGCACCGGACTTTCAATACACAGATCAGGCCAATGTTATGTGAGTTTTAAAACATATTTCTATGTATCTATGTATACAGTATAAATATTATTATTATTATTATTATGTAATAGTTTTCAACGCCTATTCGAGGCATCGATTTCCCAACACTGGGATAATTTATTAGCCGACTATTACTATCAGGTTTATCGTAAAATTTTCGATGGGAGTGGTATTTTAGGGGACAGACATCTGCATGACTTATATATGGATCCCATCTCCATATATGAACCGTTGAATTATAACACATTTAAATCTCTTTTCCTATTCATTGGCTATTGTTTCACATTTGCATTGATTGTATTGTTTTCAGAAATCCTATACAAAACATGTTTTGTAATAAGATTATTACTATTAATATAATCATTGGCTACTGTTTTGTTTGATTGTATTTGTTATTGAAATCTACATTTGCATTGATTGTATTGTTTTCAGAAATCATATACAAAACATGTTTTGTAATAAGATTATTACTATTAATATAATCATTGGCTACTGTTTTGTTTTTGTTTGATTGTATTTGTTATTGAAATCTTAAGCAGACTATAACCATGTTTCTATGCTAGTAATTATATGAATTTAGTCATTCAATATTCTATTTGAATGTAATGTCATTATTACTGTATAACTGTGTTATGTTACGGATGCATGTATAAAATATAATATCTACAGTATTAATTGATCTTGTTCAGTAATAATTTCAACCAATTTTGACACATTATCACCCACTAAGGTAAGCAAATCTTTTGATGTCTTTGAATGCTTAGCAAATTCATCGATAATAGCGGTCTCAAGAGATAACGCATGACACAATATTTTGTGCCGTTTCGACGCCATTTTTTAATATCATTAAGTTAAGGTATTAATATCATTAAGGTAGTAATATCATTAAGGTAATTTTTAATATCATTAAGGTATTTTTAAATATCATTAAGGTATTAATATCATTAAGTTAGTATATCAATATATTTAGTACAGTACAATATTTTGAATTAGTAAGGATGATTTAATTTTGAGATAGAAATTCTAGAATATTTAAAATATTAATTATAGTATATTGATTAATTACAAATTAATATTATAAATTGAATCATGATTTCGTTGAGAGAACTGCTTTATTTGTTTGGCAAACCATTTGAATTCATAGAAAGGCATTCCTATGGATTGTGGCATAAATTCATTGAATCCGTGAATATGTCTTATATTGACTGCAATTCATACCTCAAATCCCATGAATTACCGAATCGTGAAAATCGCTTTCAATTGATGACATTTCAGGATCAGGTATTTATATTTTGCTAAAATATACTAAATTATATTCCATATAAATTATGATATTGGTTTATACAAAATAATGACAATCGAAGTGACTATTAATCCATGGTGAATCTTTTTTAGTGTATGATTCCTATGACTATCGATATTTAATCTTCGATTAACAGACACTCGATTGTCATTATTTCGTATAAACTTATCATATGTTATATCATAATATTATTTATATTTTAAAACTTTATTACAGAATCAATTCCTAGATATAGATGATAGGACAGCATATTTGAATTCATATGTAGTCCCCGTATTGCAAACCATAGGAAAGAATATAAATTACAGGTTACTATTGTTATCAATTTTTGATTAATAATAAATTCAAATTATTATTTTTTAAAAATTAACTTAACAAGTATATAACTTTTAGTGTACACCTATTTGTATTTCAATGTACGGTATGGGAGGATAGACATGAGCACAACATTTCTAGATACGATGTGGTCAGACAGGGACATGTGGCAGTATTGGATACAGGTCTAATTGATTACACCTGGCACACACAAGTACAATCATTGAATTGTGTACAGCCCCTATATTTTGGTTACACAATGAATTATCTTAGTTTCAATGTCTATAAGCCTTTCCCTCCGATTATGGATATTTGAAAAGTATTTGATTTAAATGTTTGGTTTTGTTTATTAATTGCATTTATAATTATGATACCAATTGACACCACTATTTTTAACCAAAAATTAAAACACATTACAAATTATTTATAATGTCATAACATTTGGATATATTTTAAACCTTTATTACTTTTAAGTCATAATCTTAAATTTCATAATTATATATACATATTGTGGGTGTTTTCGGTCATACCATTGGTGTATATTATTAAAAATGACTTAACGGCATAAATGGTGGACAGGGATGTCATGAATGTGGACACAATCGATGACTTATTTGATGAGAGACTAGCAATTTTTGCCGACTCTTTTATTTATGAGGATTTTAATCAACCAGGTTATTACACCAGGTTTGAGCCCACATTTGGGCAAAAATTTACGAAAATGTTGAAAATATTACGGAAAATGGACGCTAGTCGGTTCATGTATAACACTATGGCAAAGGTGGCTGAGGGGATGTTTATGAGTCGGTTATGAACCTTGTTTTTATCACCAGTGAAATGTTTATGGAAACAATGAAAGCACTTTTGGATCCTATAATACCCTATCACATCGGGCGACCAGATTTGCCCATTTATTTGACTACACTATGTTACAAACCTAACTTTCAATATACGCACCAGGCTTATATTATGTAAGTTTTAAAATTTAATAGTAATATTTTATAAACTCTATTTGATATTCACTAGTTATCAGCGATTATTCGAGGCATCATTTTTCGACACCTGGAGCAAATTATCGGCCGATTACTATTTGCAAATGTTTCGACATATTTTGGACAACAGCGGTGTTTTAAATGGCAAACGGCTATCGGAACTACACGTCCAATTTCCTGTATACGAGCCCTTATCACATAACATATTTGAATCCCTATTCATATTCATTGGCTATTGTTTTGCATTGTGTTTGTGTGTATTGTTAATAGAAATTGTTGTTAATCATGTAACCAAGAAATATCATACAAAGCTAAACTACGGTTATATATATTTTTATAGTTTGATAATTGATTTTGATGATGCACCCTACCATATCGGTCGACCAGATTTGCCTATTTATTTGACTACACTATGCTATGAACCGTACTTTCAGCATTCAGATAAAGCTTATGTTATGTAAGATTTTCATTAATTTTATCTGTCATAGATAAATTAAATTTTATTTTAGCTTAATGTATTCATTTCATTAGAAATAAACGATTATTTGAGTCATCACTTTTCCAATACTGGGACAAAGTATCGGCCGATTATTATTTACAATTATATATTAGATTTATGGAAAGCAGTGATATTTTGGGGGACAAACACTTTGTGGACCTATTTGTCTCTTTTTCCAAATACGAGCCCTTAAGCCATCAAACATTTGTCTCTTTATTCATATTCATTGGCTATTGTTTTGCATTTGGTTTTGTTGTTTTGCTTTTAGAAATTGTTTTCAATAGATTTTATGTATATTTTTATTATTCTCGTAAATAATATATTAGAGTTTTTAAGACTTTATAAGTTATTTATTAATGTGTCGATTTTTTGTTTTTGTTTTTGGTTTATTGTATTGCTTATAGAAATAGTTTTCTAAAGGTACCAGAAGTTATATTATCAAAAATAAAGAGTTATCATTTATTTAATAATATATTTTGTGAAATGATTGGTTTGTATGTACTGAGTTTATTATAAAATCTGAAGTAAATGAAAAAATAATATGTAATATAATAGTATTTACTTTATAGGTGTTTGCAAATAATTCAATCTGTATAATGACAGTTAAATAATTATTTTATATGTATTCTTAGTAAATGAAAACATTTTCCAATCAGTTATAATGAGAATATGTAATATAATAGTATTTACTTTCTAGGTGTTTGCAAACAATTCAATCTGTATAATGACAGTTAAATAATTATTTTATATGTATTCTTAGTAAATGAAAACATTTTCCAATCAGTTATAATGAGAATAATAATATTATATTATGAATAAATCTGAAGTATAAAAGTTATTTTATTGTTTTAAACAATTTATAATTAAATATTTTATTATAATGGCTTTAACAGTTAAAGATATGCTATATGAATGGGGTACACCATTTGATTATATAAAATCTCAAAATCTGAAGTATAAAAGTTATTTTATTGTTTTAAACAATTTATAATTAAATATTTTATTATAATGGCTTTAACTGTTAAAGATATGCTATACGAATGGGGTAGACCATTTGATTATATAATATCTCATCCATTTGATTTGTGGCATAAATTCATTGAATCCGTGAATATGTCTTATATTGACTGCAATTCATACCTCAAATCCCGTGAATTACCGATTCGTGACAATAGCTTTAATTTAATGACATTTCAGGATCAGGTATGACATGACCGCTAACTATAACACAAATATATTACTAAATGTTTTATTAAAGAGAGAGTTTCTAGAGATAAATCAGACGAAAGGGACGGCATATTTCAATTCACTAGTAGTTCCCGTATTGTCAATCATTGGACAGCATACGAATAACAGGTCATTGTTTTCAAAAGTAATAAATAATAAAATAATTATTTGAAAATTTTCAAAATTATTTTCAGTGTAAATCTGTTAGTATTTGATTGCCACGAACGGGATGAGTCGCATAATATAACTAAATATGAACTAATCAACCAGGGATTCATATCAACATTGGATACAACACTCATTGATTACACCTGGCACACACAGATACAATCATTAAACTGCACCATGCAATTTGATTATATAATATCTCATCCATTTGATTTGTGGCATAAATTCATTGAATCCGTGAATATGTCTTATATTGACTGCAATTCATACCTCAAATCCCGTGAATTACCGATTCGTGACAATAGCTTTAATTTAATGACATTTCAGGATCAGGTATGACATGACCGCTAACTATAACGCAAATATATTCCTAATTTTTTTTATTAAAGAGAGAGTTTCTAGAGATAAATAATACCAGAGGGTCGGCATATTTCAATTCACTAGTAGTTCCCGTATTGTCAATCATTGGACAGCATACGAATAACAGGTCATTGTTTTCAAAAGTAATAAATAATAAAATAATTCTTTGAAAATTTTCAAAATTATTTTCAGTGTAAATCTGTTAGTATTTGATTGCCATGAACGGGATGAGTCGTATAATATAACTAAATATGAACTAATCAACCAGGGATTCATATCAACATTGGATACAACACTCATTGATTACACCTGGCACACACAGATACAATCATTAAACTGCACCATGCCACTATATTTGGGTTATATCATGAATTATCTCAGTATAAATGTTTACAAACCTTTCCCACCAATTATGGATATCTGGAGAATATTTGATATAAATATATGGTTTTGTATATTAATTGCATTCATATTTATGGTAACATGTGATACAATTGTTTATAAAACAAAGTTTAAACACATTACAATTGATTTAGTATATCACAACATTTATATATATTTTAAGGCACTATTGCATATATCAGTCAAAACTTGGGTTTTCGTAATTATTTATATATATTATGGGTTTTATCGATCACACCATTAGTATATATCCTACAAAACGACTTAACCTCTCAAATGGTGAACAGGGATGTCATGAATGTCGATACAATCGACGACTTATTTGATGATAGATTACAAGTTTTAACGTTTGATAAATATCATAATGAATTCAATTCACCTGGATACTATGACAGATTTGACCCCATATTTCGGGCAAAGTTTGCAAAAATGTTATCGGTTTTAAATAAAATGTACATTGGTTCATATTTATTTAGTATGCTATCCAATGTGGGCACGAAAAGTATCTATGAAATGGTCAAAAATGTGGTTTTCATAACAAATTAAGTCTATATGAACTGGCTCATGAGATTTCTTGAACGCGGTCTGCCCTACCATATTGGTCGGCCAGATATGCCCACTCATTTGACATCACTATGCTATGGACCTGGTTTTCACTACCCTGGTCAGGCTTACATTATGTAAGTTATTGATAAAATTTTTAATTTCTTACTAATTTAAGTTTTATAAATAGTTATCAGCGATTATTTGAGGCATCATTTTTCAAATATTGGGAAAGGGTGGACACTGATTACTTTTTTGAAATGTCCATGCACATTTTACAAAGTTCTGATATTCTGGGCGACAAAACAATGTCCGACTTATTGGCCGATCCTATCCCTATATACGAGCCTTTAAATCATA